AGGGCAGAGTTGACAACAAGCTTCTGTGCTCCTGAATGTTTCTGTGTGTGTGCAGCGAGATCTCCAATCTCTCTCTCTGTGTTTGTGTGCGAGTGATGTGTGTGTGTGTGTGTGCGTCAATGAAAGCAGCGCATTAATATAAAACTGTGATTAAACTGGCTTTGAACTACCTGTGCATTAGACGGTTTAATGCATACCTGCCAGTCAATCAGAATCCAGTATGATGGTATAAACCCAAATATTTGATTCTTTGCAAATTAATTTAACTGGTTGTTTTGATTTATTGTTTGTGTACTGACCCTCAGAACTTTCTGTGTAAAGTTCATTAAATATATGTCTTTCTTCTTCTCTTTCTCGTTCCTGTTGTTTCTGTTTCTCCCATTCTTCTCGTTCACACTTCAGCTCCTCTCTTATCTTTCTCTCTTGTTCTTCTATGTTTTTAATATCTGTTTTATATTGTTCTTCTCTTTCTATATATTCATCTTCTCTTCTCTTTCTCTCTTTGTCATGATTCCGTCTTTCTTTCTCCATCATCTTCTTCATTCTCTCTCTCTCTTCTTCATGTTTGAACTGAAGATCTTCTCTCTCTCTCAGTCTTCTTTCTCTCTCTCGTTTAAGTTTCTGATAATAGTCATCCCATGTTTCCTGCTCTATCTTTCTCCTTCTGTCCTCCTCTTCTTCTTTTCTTTGTCTTGCTTCTTGTTTCTGTCTCTCCCATTCCTCTCGTTCTCTCTTCATCTCTGCTTTATGTTGTTCTTCTCTCTCCCTAAATTCCTCTTCTCTTCTCTTTCTCAGTTGATCATGATTCTGTCTTTCCTCATCCATCATCATCTTCATTCGCTTTCTCTCTTTCTCATGATTCTGTCTTTCTTCCTCGATCTTCATCTTCATCTTCTTTTTCTCTTCTTTATGTTTGTTCATCAGTTCTTCTCTTTCTCTGGTCACTTGCTCCACTCTCTCCATCAGTATCTTCTTCTGTTGTTCTTGTATTTCTCTCTCCATCTCTCTGAACATCTTACATGAGTAGTAACTCCCTCCGTTTGCTTTCACCATGTTGTCTATCTTCTGCAGTAGATCAGTCACCTGTGTTCGGTCTCCAGTCTCTTTATTATTGAACACATGGTATCTGTTTCCACAAGCTTCAGTCAGGTTTTTAAGGGCAGATCCAGGGTTTCCCAGATACTGTTCTATGGTTTTGTCATTCAGATCATCTCCTCTGGTGAAGAGCACCATGGTGAACATTAAAGAGTTTTCACCAAATGTCTCTTGGATGATCTTCACTGCTGTTTTCTCTTCTTGAGTGAATCGTTGTGCTAAGTTGATCACGATGATGAAGACATGTGGTCCAGGCAGGATCATAGAGATGCAGTTGCTGATTTCTCTCTGGATTTCTTCATTACTGAGTTCAGTATCAAACAGTCCTGGAGTGTCGATCACAGTAATGTGTCTGCTGTTGATTTCAGCTGTCTTTTTCTGACACTCTTTAGTAACAGATTTTTCAGAAATGTCTGATATAAACACTTCTCTTCCTAAGATGGTGTTTCCAGTTGAACTTTTCCCAACTCCAGTTTTACCCAGCAGCACAATCCTCAGTTCACCTTCTCTTTCTCTTGAATCTAAAGATAGATCAAATAAAAATTCAAAACAATATATTGAATTTCAAGTTAATATTGTCAATTATACATGCCATAGAATATGTATAATTTTTCATATTATCATATTATTTCTTCCAAACTCTGCATGTAATGTTATTTTTATCTCAAAAATACATGCATATTTTCTGATCATTACCTTGTGACTGAAACCACTCGTGCAATGAGTTCCACAGTTTTTCCATTGGTGCCTTTAACAGTGTCTCTGTCGAGAACAAATGCCACTATTTTTATTAACCATATGCTTCAATTTCTGCTTTCACTGTAACTGTTAATGGACAATAGTCATTCATGAAAATGTTGTTAATAGTTAATAGTCGACTAATCGTTAGTCAACCAGAAGAGGCTTGGTCGACCAACATTTTATTAGTCGCTTAGTTGCAGAAAAAAAGAGAAAAAGAATCCACAGACGAAGTCACGCAGTTCGTGACGAAGATCGTTATCGGCTACATTGTAATACAGTAGCCTACATCCAAACCTATTATTCATCGACCTCAAATATGGCTTATCATCTGAAATATGTAAGTATTAGCAACTTTACATGGCCGCTCAATCTAATGTTAACCTAGAGAAATGTGCGCTATTCAAGTGTCTGTGCGGAGTGTGAAAGCTTAACAGCAGCGTGCTCACTGCATGACGGTGCGCTTACTTGCTCTTAAAGGGTCAAGGGTCAGTCATGGAATCCCCGATGTCAGCCCAGGCCCGGTTGTACAAGGGTACTAGATGGTGCTAAATGCTCTCAAACGAAAGCAAAAGCAATGAAAAAGATCTGGCAAACTATTTAAAGTGTTTTTGCAGTGTTGAGCAATGTAGCCGATCAAAGATATATCTGTTGATTTCTTCAACGCAATGGCCAATCAGAAACGTTAGTTTTCAGAATTCACTCACCGCTGAAAGAGCCGGAGTTTTGCACGCTCGTGAATCATCTCATGACTAACTAAGTGCAGACGCGATGTAAATAAGATATTTATTGTGTAGTTTAGAGAGCTTGATTATAACGGAACTTTGTGAGATCGCGATGAACTTTGATGAGTGATTCTTTTAGTGATAATAAAGGGAGCGCGCTTTGTGTGTTTTCTAGGCTATAATCCATTCAGAATTTGAAACTTTTGTTTTTTGGACACATACATGCTGCAAAGTTTCAGGAATGATGCTGGATTCATTCTCGAAATATCAGTGATAAGCAATGGACGGGACAAAAAAGTGATTTATTCTGGAACCAGTCCTGGCCAAACTTCCACAAAAAATGCGTGTCCTGAGCGAGATCATAAAAGCATGTGTAAACTTTATTGAGATCGGGACATATCAACCAGTAATTTCATTTCCAGTAACAGACGGTAGGAAGTTCAGAAATGAATGGTATACGATTTATGACAGAATAGTCCCACAACTGATCGTTTATTTTTTTCCTCACGTGTCTCACCACAATGATTCAAAACGGACACATTTTAAGTGACATGGGAAAAAAACACGGTAAACTTAAATAAACATCAGAAAAGCAGCGCACACATTTCTGGTTAGAAATGAAAGGCCATCAACTGACACTTAAAATGGGAAGCATCGCCATTCAAATCAGCAGCAAGAGGCTAATTGCTGTATGTAGGATTGACACCAAGTGGTTGAACTAGGTATTGCAGTCCAAATTCAAAATAGGTTTTTTTCACCCAGCCCCTCCTCCTCAGACTTGACGCACATGCAGGTTGCCAGATTGACGACACCAACAGGAACCAGCGCACACGACGATGAATGAAATGAAATACGCTGTGTTTTCCGCCAACTGGCAACCCGGGGTGCCGAAATACAATTGGGTAAACTGGCAGTGGGCGGGTTTCACAAACCAAAACAGATGTAGCGCATTGTTTTGATGCACAGGCTACATTCAAATTTTTTATTTGCACTAAGACTAGTGTATAGATTGACTTGTGAATTGATTAATTGGTTCTCGCCATGTATATAGCCAGATGCTGGAATGGCGGTAAGAAGGAAATAAACAAACAAACGTTTCCATCTAACGTGAATTTTGAGATGCAGCTCGTCATATTAACAGAAACCTTCATCTGAGTCACTTAGCCCACACTATTAATCTACAACAGGGGTTCCAAACCTAGTCCTGGTCAATGGTCCATTTGAGAGATAGGTGGCGGTAATGCACTTATAATACATTCAATTCAGGTTAATACAGATACATATAGCCAAAAATACACAAAAAAAAAGAACGCAAACACAGCAATGTAAGATTGTAGGATTTCATCATGTGAAAGTTGATGTGCAAAAGTCTTATTTATACATAGTGTATCAATGTCCAGACACTGTCCATAGATAAAGTTGGTTGACAGCAAATTAATAATCCAACGTCTTGTAATGAAAACATGCCACAGTTCTCAAACACCAGACTCTTCCTAACCAGGAACAATCAAAAATCATCCAGACTATGGTCCCACGTCGAAAAGAACTTTAAATCCATATTCAAACTGGACCATGATGTGGTAACCTCGCACCAATAAAGAGTGCTTCTAAAATGCATACAATTACATTGTCTTAAACTCTTACCATCAATCCAAACATCGGCCATACATACATGTACCATCTCTGCAAAACAAACATCAGCAATGTACACTTTTAAATAAAATAAAAAAACTCCATTAGACTGGGCTTGAAATGACACATTTCCCAACCAGGACAGCACAATGTGTTCAGCAGTTGAGCCATGCTGGCTACTGCTGCTTGCTATTGCATCTATGTTCCAAGTGCAAAATCACCCAGATTAAACTGATGAATGTTTAGTTGGGAAAGAGGCAATAAATGATTTTTGCTCTTTCAATCACAACTTATACTTCTACATTCCATCTCCGTTATCACAAAACCCACAATACACAACAAAAACACAGCTCCAATCACAGCATCCTCATTCATCGCTGTTGAATGACGGACGTCACTGTCGCCTGGCATACGGCAGAGATGTTCACAAGTCTTTAACTTGTCCTTCTAATATTAATCATTCTAATAATTTGGTGCCCAAGAAACATTTCTTATTATCAATGCTGAAAAAAGTTGTGCTAGGCTATAGACAAAATATATGATCTATGATCTGCTTTGTAAAAAAAAAAGAAGTGTTAAGATGTAAGGTTAATGTACGTCCAGCCAGTTACTAATGTTTTAATCCATTACCATGTTCAAAACAGTTTTTCTGTAATCGAATTCTATAATAAGAGTCCGATCTACCATGACACACACTGTATCTAGCCTACTAAAAACAATGTAGCTACAATCATCAAAACATTCTCATCTTGAGCAGAAAAGAAAGAACTAACAGTTTCAAAGTTTAAGTTCCATCCTAGCCATCTAACAACAATTTTCCCAATTATAATTATATATATATACACTGAACAAAATTATAAACGCAACACTTTTGTTTTTGCCCCATCTAACAACAATTTTCAATTATATTTAGGCCTACATATTTTTTTTAAATGTTCTTAGCCTACATATTAATAATGCTAAATGTCGGAAACGTCTTGTCACA